AACCACCGTGCCACCGTGCTGCACCGTGCATATAGTGTCTCTCTTAATAGTTTAATGATTTGCACTGGTCTAGCTTCATGGGTATTAGACTTGTGTGCTGTGTAAGGATTAACCTTTTTTCCCCAACTTACGTCAGCTCTTCATCTTCCACTTTGTTCCATTAGAAGTCAACACATTTTTCTTTTCCTGTCCTTTTAATCTTTATGCATCACACCAGCTACCTGTATTCTCCTTCACCACCTCCATCCTTTAGTGTCCCATCTTTTCATTACTGGCACCATTTCCAGTCCATTTAACATAGTAGCTGCTCTCACTACCATTGTGTAAACCTTTGTCTTCACCCAGAGGATATACTCTCCAGGATCTTCCTGACTTGCTCTGTACTCTCGAAGCAGATCACAATGTCATCTGCAAACAGCATAGTCCACAGATGCTCTTGTACATCTTGTCTGCCAGCGTGTCCTTCAAGGAAAGGGCTGAACATCGACTCTGTGTGTAATCCAGCCTCCAACTTGAACCTATCTGTCACTTCTACTGCAAACCTCACTACCATCTCTCTTCCCTCACCAATCACCCTCACATTTCTGCTCACATTTCTGTCTCTCTTAACTTCCTCATACAGCACCACACTTCTACTTCTGTGCAGTTCCTCATTATTTGTCTGCAAATAAAAAAAGAAGTTTTCAGACCTCATATTAAACATCACATCTGTGGTGTTTGTTTTGCTGCTCATTGATCATTAGATCTCTTCTTAACCTAGCTTCCCCTAATATTTACATTAGGTAAATATCATTGCTACATGGATTTATTTGCCTTTTGTTACTTTATCAGTAACATGCTTCTTCTCTGCTCACACACACATTGTGTCAAACATCCCTCAAACCATCACCCATGAAAATCCTCATACCTTTCATCCTCATGAACGTTCTGATCTACAATCTCCACACGATCCAACCTTTTCTTTCTCTCTCCTTCTTTGCTTCAGAGCACTCCTTTCAGTCTCTCAATCCTTTTTCTTTTCAGCATATTTTCATCCTAATCCTTCACAACCCTTATCTTTTACATATCCTATATGGCAGTCAGTGTAAGACCTTTTCTCCATCCTAAGCGTTCAACCATGGCTACAACTGTCATCTAACAGAAAGATATAAAATATCTTTATCTAAAATATTTATAAGATATAAAAAGAAAAAGAACAGGACCAGAAGAAAAATCTTACCAAGCTAAAATCCAATAAACAGTATCAATGTTACTATTTTTGAGAACTAGACCTGAAACAGTACCATCAATTTGACTATATGATAAACTCTTTTCCATTCAGATCACATTCTAAATTGCCCTATGAATCATCAATTAGCCTAATATCGCTAGCTGCATGTCTCTGAACTGTGGGAAACAAAGGGAGAACATGCAATCTCCACACAGAGAGACCCCAACCAGATGGTGGAATTGAACTCAGGCCCTTCACCTGTGAGGCAACAGTGCTGAACACTGCACCACCGTGCTGCACTGTCTTACAGGTTTTCTTTGGAAATTTAATACTCTGTGTGCACCGTATGCAGAAAAACTGTTTATATAAGAGTGTTTGTGTTGGAGTCTTGCACGCAGTTCTGCACAATCCCTCTTTGTCATGTGTTTGGAAGAAACAGCTGAACTCATCAGCCTGGAACTATGTCCTATAGTGCACTGCTCCTACCCTGTCTGACCACACAGGGGACAAAAGCTGGCCTGACTTCAAGAATCGTTTCTCAGTATTTTCTGGATTTCTCTGGATTGCTGGAAAGACTTTTTTTTTTTTTTGCTACACAAAGATGTGTGTTCAGCTCATGTTCCCCAGAGCTGACATTAAGATACAGAGAGGATAAATACCCAAAAGACCAACACATTATTATTATTTTTTCTGTTTTAGGCACGCCTCTTAAATCCGTCCGGGAATATAGACTGAGTAGGGTGGTTGGTTGCAGTTAAATGAAACTTTGTTAAAGAATGGAAAGACTATAGGCTGTAAACTTAATCTGACCGCCACTAGGAAGCAGGGAAATTGCCTGTTTTGATAAGCAAATTAGACCCAGTGGAGTTGGCATTGTGTTATGAAAGGTATCTCTGCAGCTGCGACACTGAAGAAGCAGTGCCGTTCAGTTTTATGGGCTTCACGATATCGTGTTTTAGTGCTTTGTCACAGTACTCAGGAAGAACTGTGTGGCAACTGTGCAACTCATTTGCACAAGTGGTGACAGTGGCTCTCGTGTTTAAAACGCTTGATTTGAAAAACAGCAGAACTTTTAAATCTTTATTAGGGCTCCTGAAAGATTCATCAGCCTGTTCCCACAGAGGGTAAACTACATGCAGGTGAGTCTGTGTAAACAAGAGGGGGAAATGCAGCATTGCACAGTTTTATGGTGCTTGAACAACGAAACGCTCATTAGACTGAGGAATAACTAAATATATTAAATTCTTCTTTTCTCTTATCAACATAAACTTCTAACTATTTTAGAACAGGTGTTAACACTTAGCTAACAGCGACTGGACGTTTAAAGCTCTTATATATATATATGACAGTGGAAGATTTTCTGTGGGGGAGTGGGCTCGTTTGCCGGCGTTAGCTATCATTGGTCGAATGGATTTGCAGGAGAAGCCTTGTGTTTGCTGATTGGCTAGAACACCAGTCCGTTCACCAAACGATGTCCGCCCTCCCAGCGACTGAGCCGTGAGAGCCGCCAGGCGCCGCTCCCGTCACGTTTCTCCGCTGCATGTTCACCGCCGTCAAATAATGTTATCCATGATCTCCACGGCTCTAACTCGTCCATCCTCTCCTGTATCTTCGGCTCTGGATTGATTCTCCCGTCGAACAGGTATGTGTATTTATTTCGGCATTAGCCTCAATCTGTGAATTATCTAGAACGTTCGTTGCATCAGTGGAAGGATGCGCCTCGAACGCAAAGCCCTGTCATTTTCTATCATCGTGCAGCGGCATTTCTCGGGCTCATTCAGCACTAATGCCTAACTGCAGAGTTATGTGGTGTCCACGGGGAATCGAAGCGAGACGATGGTCGGTGGAGAGGTACATGCAAATTCATCCCGGCCACTGGGTGTCAAGTTTAAAGCAGACCGATGGTGATCAGGTGCAGGCTTGCTCGGGGGGAATTGGCTGCATCAGGCCCGTAAAGGCCCGCGTTTAATACCCACTAGCTCTCTCTCTCTCTCTCACACACACACACACTAGCGCGCTTTTTCAGTATTTTCGAGAATTTTTCTTTCATCCATAAATATTTCAACGTGCATCGCAATTGTTGGAAGCGGAGGGTGTGGACGTCGGATGGGGGTTATGTTACGTAATCCCCCCCTCATTCATCACTCCACGCCATCCCTCCTGATCGCCGGCCCTTGTTCATCCCACACAGAATGATCTCTGCAACGCCGCTGCCTCCGCTCTCTCCCTTTCCTAGTCCCTTCTCCACATGTTAATCAAAAGAAGTATTGATGAATTAAATGACCTTTTTTCCACTATAAGGGTCCCTTACGCACATGTGACTCAGCATTCTGAGCGTAGTTTACGAAATCTGATTTAATTGGCCCAACAGAACACAAAGAATTTGTTTACAGGAAGATTTATAGAAACTTTGTATTTTCCCACATCGTGCTCCAAACTGAGCTTTATTTGAAAAGGAGGAGCTAAACTACTGTGTGGTAGTTTAGCTGCTTAGTGGGCACAGATCATGCCTACTACTAGCTAGTTATACTGTGATATCGGTGTCTTTTTGGATAACTGTGTAGCACACTGTAGGTAGATTACCCTCGTCAGTTTGCTTTACCCATTAGTACTTTCTATGTCAATAGCAACACTTTTTCAGCTGCAGGTCTTTTAGATGAAACCCCATTGTCAAACCCATCGTGCATTTTTTAAGTTAGCCGAGTAGCAAACATTCACTGTGTGTCAAGTGCTGCACTTTTTGGGAAGCAATTTCTCCCCATTTTCAATCAGTGCAGAATTTATGAGCTGAGGTGAGAGCTTTATTGTACCCGAGGTCCCGTGGTGTGCATCCACCCTTCAAAGTGATGCATTATGGTGAGTGGAGCGTAGAGGCTTCAGGACACTTTCAGACACACAAATCAGCTTATTAAATTTTGGATAAGTTACCTTTGGTCCCAGCAGCTGGCTTCACCTCTCTGAGCCTGGTTCTGCCTGAGATTTCTTCCTGTTAAAAGGGAGTTTTTACTTCCCACTGTCACCTAGTGCTTGCTCGAAGAGGCCGTTTGAGTGCTGGGGTTTTCTCTGTATTGCTTTAGAGTCTTAACCTTACAATATAAAGTACCTTGAGGCATCTGCTTTTATTATTCAGCCCTATATAAATACAATTTAATTTAATTTCAGACGGGAAACACTTAAAGCTGCGCTGAGCCATAATGTTTAATAATTGTTTTACCAACAGTGGATCAGAAAGGCTGTGGGGGAGCTTAAACTGTTTCTCTCTGCAGACAATATCAACTAGTTGATCTTTATTGGAGCCTTTTAAACTACCGATTTATAGATCACTGCTGTTTATATCTAGACTCTTATCAACCCCACTTTTAGCCAGAGGAAGACGTGTTATTTTTAGCAGAAAGCTTTTCAAGATAAAACCCACTGCACACCACCAGCAGGGCCTCTAACAGAAGAAACACAGTTGCATAATTAGCTGCCAAGAAGTCGGAAATGTTCTGACGTTTGACATGTGACAGATGTAATATTAAGTCAAGTTGTCACATAGTTTCACTGCCCCCCGGTGGCCAAAAAATTCATTCGATTAAATTAATTAATTTAGTTAATAATTTTTCATTTACCAAGTGTTACCACAATTTCATGTTGCATCTGATGGCTTTTACATTCAGTCAATCTGCTGATTGTTTTTAAATAATAAAAGCAGTGAACAATGAAAAAGATGTCAAGTTCTCCAGGGCCCACGGTGAACTGTGTGAAGATCCCCCCCCCCCAAATGACCTAAAATCATAACCTGTGCTGTTTTTGGGTGTCATTCTGCTCAGTGATCCAATGACCGCTGCTCAGATTTGCTTTGTGATGTCAGTAGTATTGCAGCTTATAAATGTGTTCATACATGTTGACACAAGTGTGGCTCAAAGCCAGGTATTGACTAACCCTCCTCTTTGGTCTACAGTTCGCCATGGCAACGGTGGTGATGGAACAGATCGGTCGCCTGTTTATCAACGTGCAGCAGCTGCGGCAGATCCCTCAGCTGCTCGAGTCGGCCTTCCCAACCCTGCCTTGCACCGTAAAGCTGTCCGACGTTCCGTGGGTGTTCCGCGAGCGCCACATCCACACGGGCTACAGACAGCCGGACCTGAGCTGGCGGTACTACTTTCTCACCCTCTTCCAAAGGCACAACGAGACCCTCAACGTGTGGACCCATCTGCTGGCTGCCCTCATCATCTTGGTGAAGTGGCAGGAGATCTCGGAGACGGTGGACTTCTTGCGAGATCCTCACGCTCAGCCCCTCTTCATCGTGCTCCTGGCAGCTTTCACCTACCTCTCATTCAGTGCTCTCGCTCATCTCCTCTCTGCCAAGTCGGAGCTCTCCTACTACACCTTCTACTTCCTCGACTACGTGGGGGTTGCCGTTTACCAGTACGGGAGCGCTCTGGCACACTACTACTACGCTATAGAGAAAGAGTTGCACACTACTGTGCAAGGGATCTTTTTGCCCGCTGCGGCATTCCTGGCTTGGCTCACGTGCTTCGGCTGCTGCTATGGCAAATATGCCAGTCCCGAGCTGCCCAAGCTGGTCCTCAAGCTCTTTCAAGTGGTGCCCTCAGCCTTGGCTTACTGCTTAGACATCAGCCCCGTAGTCCATCGCATTTACAGGTGCTACCAGGAGGGCTGCTCCGACCCGATGGTGACGTACCACTTCTACCACGTGCTCTTTTTCTTAATCAGCGCCTATTTCTTCTGCTGCCCTCACCCAGAGAGCTTGTTCCCTGGGAAGTGTGACTTCATCGGGCAGGGCCACCAGATCTTTCACGTGTTTGTGGTGGTTTGCACCCTGGTGCAGATCGAAGCGCTGCGAACAGACTTCACAGTGCGCCGCCCTTTGTACGAGCGTCTTCACGGGGATCTCGCGCACGACGCCGTGGCGCTCTTCATCTTCACTGCCTGCTGCAGCGCCCTCACCGCGTTTTACGTGCGCCAGCGCGTGCGGGCCTCTCTCCACGAGAAGGAAGAGTGAGAATTTAGACTATTAAAAAAAACACAAAAAACAAACAAGTCAAACAAAGTCTCATTTATTTTACTCTATAGTGACTGTTCTAAAATAACTTAAATGTTTTTGTCAAGGAAAGTTATCAGCTCGTGATAGTGACTTCTGATTATTTCTTCTCTGTGTTCTGCCAAACAACAGTGAACTAAATATTGACTAAGGCGGTGTTGTTGTGACTTAAAGGGGGGGAAAGGGGGCTCTTGCAGCTCATCTGTAGCAATGCGGACCCTGCAACAAACCCTTACATCCTAACTTCTCTTTATTTATTTATTTTTTCTAGACGGTCTGAAGGAATGTTTTACTTTACGAAAGAAAAAAGTCTTTGTGCACAGATTAGCAAAAAAAATTGAGAGGCTAGTTTCTTCAGTTGCCTTCTTAATTGTATTTAGAAAAAATCTGACTGTCTTAATCAAATTGTAGCATTTGAATTTAGTATTTATAGTCCCTCAGACTCACTTTTAGCTCCTGTTAAGTTTTACACTGGTGCTTTTCTCAATGTCCTGATATTCTTTTGTGTTTCTTTGGGTTTTGGTTCGGTTTGGATATCAAAGCAGGGATTATTTTTCCATTTCCCAAGGCGCTAACACTAGGCCACGCTAATGTTTCAACACAGTCGACAAAGATAGAAACCCAATTTGAAAACCAAATATTTTACCTCCTTATGAAAAGCAGACCCTTTTCTTTGGATTCGATGACACTCTGTTGAAAAGGAGGCTGGCACTCTGCACTGGTTAAAAGATGAGCGGAAGATTACTGATGTCTCCTTGTCGTTGTGACGATGTTAATCTTTCTCTTTTTTCTTTAATTCAAAGGGCTGGAACTTCAGCTTTTGCCTTTTCACATCCCGTGATGTCAGTGCTTTGCGTGAATCATTTTCATTGTCGGTCGATCAGATTCGAGTCGTGGAAAAAGGAAAAAGCTGCGTCTGACCTGCTTTTAGTATGTTTTTTTTTTTTTTTTGTATGATGAATATGTATGTGCCTCTACGCATGTCTTTTGGTATATACCGTGGATAATAAGTGTGTGAATGTCTATGAAAGCTTAGCCTTGCACTTCTTTCTTACCCTGTAAATAGCTGTATTTCTCTTGAAATTTTCTTTGCATCCCATTTTCTCCCCACCTGATGGCATTCGGAGGTGAATGCACAATATTTTTCTGTGGAATACAGCACATTACTCTTTTGCTGCTTCCTTTCAGAGCGCGTTTTGTGTCCCTCCTGCCCATCAGACTGTAATGGGTATGAATATTGTAATTTCATACTGCCTCACTCTGAAGAGTCCTCTGGTTTATCTCTTTGGTTAATGGCAGTTCTTATAAAAAACATCTCACAAATATGACTTCTGTGATAACGCCGCTTGGATTTTTATCTCGCAAAATCTCAAATGCCAGAAAATGATCTATATTAATGACTGCACTCCTTGTTCATGACAGTGCTTTAATGTGCCAATGAATCTGTTATTGCTTCAGGGATGGCTTTACTGAACGATGAATGAACAGACAGAATGCAAGACATCGATTTGAGTGGAGATTTAACCTTAATTCTCTTGATTATAAACCTTCTAATTGGTCTCATCATGCACTGTCTAAATCCACACTGTATATATTTATATATATATATATATATATTGTAGCTGACAGCACTGGCTGTGTTTACATGCATGGAGGCTGATAATGCGGTTATTCTGGTTTCCTCCTCAAATGTCATAAATCAGAATAACGTGGTTAAGTCTGTACTCCTGCTGAGAGAAATTATGTTGTGAAGCTCTTGTGTATAAAACAGATTTTCTGCACACAGTCTTCACAGTCTTCACTGAAATGATCCATTATGGGCTAATCATTTCTAATTGGCAATGTCTCCTAAACCTCTGCCCAGCCCTATCTGTAACATAAGGGTGTTGTTGTGACCATCAAAGGGACCAAAACAACTACTTTATAGATTATAATGTCTTTTTCTTTGTGTTAGAGAGAACTTAACTTTCTTGAAACTGGAGGGGAACAGTTACAAAGTAACAAGTATTTCTTTGCTTAACTGATTATTTGTGGCAACAAAGACACTCTGTCACAGGTTGTCTGCGATACGTGCCGATTAAACCGGAGATCTTAACTGGAATAAGGCCAGCACTCCATGCAAGCGTGTGTGTGTGTGTGTGTGTGGGTGTGTATGTTCAAACGTAGCCTCTGATACTACTGAGGGTTTCCCTTTATCCCGTTCAGAAAAGTAGGTTGAAAGGGACGAGAATGTCTTCTGCCTCTAAAAATACGTGTAACTGACTGTACTAATATTCTGTTGTATTTAAGAAAATAAAGTGTTACGGTACATTCAGAAATTCTCCTATGTTGTTTGTACTGATTCTAAAGAAACGGAAATATCCAGTTTGCCAATTCTGCAACAGCCGAGCAGCTGTGAAACATTTTCCTTGGGAAAGAAGCCGTGTTTGAAGTTTGAGGTCACGTCTGAATTTTACCTGCCAAATTTAATTTCAATGTGATGGCTGCACTTACAGCCACACAGGGGTGATATCCACCATAGTAGTGTAGAGCCTTATACATAACATTGCATTCACATTTGTCTTTAAATATAGGAATTAATTTACAGAATTTACAGGACAATTAATAACTGGTTTTGGTTTAGAATGAATTCACGTATCCACATAACATTGGATTCTAAAATAAGTGTGCACATTTTAGTTTACCCTGTTATGTATGATTAATCTTTTGTTTTCTGAGTTACCTTAGTTGCAGCTGCTCCAGTCCCTTGATTGAGGAGCCGACAGGTGGAAAAGGGGCGGAGCAAGCCTCGATGGAAAACTGCAAATTGGCTCATTGCATAACTCGGGACCATGGGGGGGGGGAATTGGAGTTCATTTTGTTAGTTTCAGTTAGGTTTTGTGTTTTACCCCTTTGTGTTTTTGTGGGCTGATCAGCCACTATTTAAGTTTCTCCTTTGTCTCTTTAAGTTAGGTCAGTTTGTTTGAGTTATCGGTAGCACCAGTGTCCGGCAACCTCACCTCTGTCAGTGCGCCCCAGGGCAGCTGTGGCTACAGTGTAGCTGCCATCACCAGTGTGTGATTGTGGATGACTGAATGTGTAAAGCACTTTGGGGTCCTTAGGGACTAGTAAAGTGCTATACAAATACAAGCCATTTACCATTTTACCATTTATCAGTATTGTTGTCAACTTTGAGTCGAGTTCTGTTATTTTGACCTCTTTTATGGGCCCAAGATTTGGATTCTTTTTGCATGATTTAACCAATCATGTTTAACCTGTGCCTAAGTTTCCTTCGCTGCTCGGTCCATCACATTCAGACATTTGATTTAAATATTTTAAAGGATCATAAATGACTGAAAACTGTTTTTCTCTCACTCACTCATGGAAATATTGCAAGGTTGTTACTTTCTGTAACATGACCCAGGAGAGAAACTGACTCCAGTTCCTATTTTTATTTGTAGAATTAAGCTCTTTGTGAGTATATATACACTCACGGCCACGCCAGATATTAACAACTGGCCAATCACATGGCAGCAATTCAACATGTCACATGTAGGCATTGTGAAGATTACCTGCTGAAATTTAAACAAGCATCAGAATTGTGACAAAAGGTCATTTGCGTGACTCTGAACGTAGCGTGGCTGCTTGGTTTGAGTATTTCTGAAACTGCTGATCTGCTGGGATTTTCACGCACAGCCATCTCTGGGGTTTTACAGAGAAAGAAACTATCCAGTGAGAGGTCACAGGAGAATGCACAGATTGCTTTGAGATGATAAGAAGAATAAGTAACCCAAATAAACACTTGTTACTACTGAGGTATGCAGCAAAGCATGTTCAACCGTGAAGCAGATGGTCTACAGCAGCAGGAAGTGGAAACTGAGGCTACAGTTTGCATGGGTTCACCAAATATTGGACAACAAAGGATTGAAAAAACATGGCCTGGTTCTGGAGTCTTGATTTCTGATTGGACTACAGGTACTGATGGTGAATTTGGGCTAAAGATGAAAGCAGGGAAGCGTCCTGCCTTGTATTTAACAGTTGGTTGGCTGGTGATGACAGTGTAATGGCACGGGGGATATTTTCCTGGCAAACAACTGAGTATCGTTAAAAAGCCACAACCTCTCTGACTATTGTTGCCGGCTATGTCCATCCCTTTATGATCACGTCTAATATCTGCTTCCAGCAGGTTAAAGGCACTAAGTCACAAGGCTCAAACTGGTTTCTTTAAGATGATACTGAGTTGTACTCATTATCATCTGTACTCAACTGGCCTCTAGATCTCAATCCAACAGGGCACCCTTAGGACGTGGTGGAACAGGAGATTTCCATCATGGATGTGCACATGACACATCTGCAGCAGCTGTGTGACGCTTTAATGCCAACGTGAACAAAATCTGTGATGAATATTTCCAGCACCTTATTGAATCTGTGTCATGACAAATTACAGCAGTTCTGAAGGTAAAAGAGGAGGTCGAGAACAAGATGTAACTAATGAAGTGGACAGTAACAGTACATGTAATTCTACTGAAAGCACCAGAATACGCTATGATAATATAACATAGGAAGTATAATGAATCTGAACTACAGCTGAACTACAGCTAGTGCATGTTATTTACTTTTACAGTCGCAGGCTGTAAAAGTAAATAACATGCACTAAAGACATAATAATATAATAATATAACATAGGAAGTATAATGAACCTGAACTACAGCTGTGAAAATAAATAACATGCACTAAAGACACATGCTCAAGGATAGAGTCATTTCTCAGACACACTGTACCTGCTGTCACCAGCAGAGGGCAGCCTTGTCGTTTGGTGAAAGCGGCAGTAGCCCTACAGCACACCGACTTATCTCAGGTAAAAAACCCTGAAGATGTTTTGTGAGGTAACAAAATAAGCAAAAGCAAATGTTGTATTTATCATGGTTCATGTTTTCATAGTAGGTTTGCTTTCCGCTGAGAATACCTTTCAACCCAATAACCGTAAAATAGACAGAGTTGTCCACATGAAGGTATACAGTAAAGACTGTGGAAAACAAATGAAAAACCCCCACTTAATTTAAAATGGCTCTTTTGTAATAAATGTAATAAATGCATGAAGACCAAAGTAATGGCGAATGGAAATTAGCTGATTAAAAACTGTTAGTAGGATTAAGAAAAACTATTGTGAGATTATAGAGTAGCTTTTTAGGCTAATACAGAACATGCTGTGGTAGAAATATGGCAATAATATCAAACAGGTGTTTTTCCTCATCTGTCCAGGGTACAGTCAAATAGGAGTAGCACACAATAACTTTCATCTTGCACACAGAGCTCTGACTGGTATCTAACTAGAAAACATTTACCAAACCCCCCCCCCCCCCCCCAAAAAAAAAAAAAAAAAATCTTTTAAGAACTGTTTTGTTATTTTTGTTACACAAGAAAAATAAATCTTTCCATTAGGGGGCACAAATGGTCTGCATATCTATTTACATCATGGATGTATAACTCCACTTTAAAATGAAATCCATCAAGGCAAGTTTTTCTTTCTTCCTTTTGAATAATTTTTGTAGATAGTGATACCCACTGTTGTAATGAAACACAAAACTCATTACAGGCCATATGCAGCCAGGATGACTGAACAACAGTCTATGCTACCCCCTTTTGTTGAATTAAACCTTCTGTGAAAATGAATAAAACTTAATTATTGCTGCAAACATTTGCTTAATAGACTAAGAATAATATTACACGAGTAAATCTAATGTCTTACATGTAACTGTTCATCTGGGAGCAACGGCTGGAGCGGCTTCCTGCTAAGATTGGATGTGGGTGGCACATTATGGTTTATATATGCATATGTACGTTCTGTATGTGTGGATTCAGTCTCTCGGGTGTTAACGCTTGTATTTATTTACATATGTCTGTATTCCAGGTTTTTTTCCCACATAAGTTTGTGTGGGTTTGCATCGCATCGTCCTTTTGCTATTTGTCAGTAGCTTTGGTTTATGATGATTAAGCTGCCTTGTACATCGTGCATTCATATGAGGGAACTATCTCATCAGGAGCATCCTTCTGTCTCTCGTCTGCCTACATGCTCACATGCATAACATTTGTACCCTGCATGAGTGGAAATTCATATCGTGTGCTAATTAGAACATCTCTAAACTACGTTTTCCAGTAATGGAAAAGAATCATTGGAATTTAAGGCTGAAATGGGCTCTTGATATATCTCCCTTGGATGTGATTAATTCGCAGTATTACACACTCACACGGCCCTAAATCAAATGGCAGAGATAGCGATAATTGCCTTACAGCCTGCTTCCTGTCCTCTAACTATCAATTGCTTCCTCAGACTCCATCAATTTTCATATGCCTGCTTCTGGAGCAGCTCACCGTCTCTCTCCCGGCTTCACTCTTCTCCATTGCCGGTCTCTTTTTCTGTCTGCGAGTTGAGCCACAAAGCTATGCCTTCTCTTCTTCCCGTTTTAAATGCTTCATTTGCTTTATATGATTTGCATCAAGGTTACCAAGGCAATATGAGGTGGCCTTGGTCTCACATCATGTTTTGTAATTAAAGGTTTGACTTGCTAGAGGGAATGGCTTTGTTCAGAGTTATTAAATCGCCTTCTCTTTTTGCCAGGTGACAGACAGCCAACTTCTCTCCCATCTCTCTTTTTTGATGAACCTCTTCTGTGCTGCCAGGTATTTTGTTCCCACATCCTTTGTTATTGTGGCATTTTCATATGGTCTCCTGCTTTTGTTATTACTTGGAGAAAAGCTTAGGGAAACTCACTGTGTTATGAAGGATGTAATCATATAAAGAATGGAACAATGCATTATCAGACTGTGAATTAGAAATGAGTCAAAATGGAAAATGTAATACCTGTTCTCCAGTCCCTCTAATGTACTCATAAGTAATAATGGCACGGTGCCACTGCATGTAGACACTGCACAAGTGTCAAATATTTCTCCTCTAAAACCTAGTTTCATCATAGGTGTGTCTTTACAGTATAACCAATGGTTTATTTGAAATCATAAAAGTCTATTAAATGAAAAAAGACTTGAAATATTTAATCCGTCTTAGGCAGCGGTGGGTTATTGATTTTTTATCAGGAGGCCAAATGATAAACTCAGACTGTTGTGGAGGGCTGCACCAGTGAACTTAATATTAAGCAGATATTAGTTCAGCTTATTAGTGTAGCCTTCCACAACAGTTTATCATATGGCCTCCTAATTAAAATGACTAACCCATCACTTTTTAGACCAATTAAATATTTCGAGTCTTTTTTCCAGTCTTTTTAATAAAGTGAAATAAGACCTGCTTAAAGTTTGTTTTATTGGTGCGGCCCTCAACAACAGT